TTTTCTTTGATTTTATGATTTAATATGTCAACGAGATTAAATCATCATTCATTAATCAACGATTAAATATAATAGTAAAAATCCAGGAAACAACAAAAAACGTAAAACTGTTTTAAAATAATTTGTTTCGTCAATGAAAAAACGTTTAAAAGTTAATTGCTTAAAGTTCAAAAATTAATCGTTGTAACAATTATTTTATTTTTTATTTTAATGATTCGAATTTCCTTCGAACTTGGTCTAGTTATTAAGAAACGATACGAAACGGAACTTGTTGTATTTACGTTGTGTAGAAAGTTACGTTCTCGATGAAAATTGCTCGTTTTCTTCAGCCTTGCGGTTGTCTACGGGTCACAACCTTCAATTAAATCGGGCGAAAAGAAAATTGACCTGCATTTGTATTTATGCACTTAATTTTTTTAACGTATTCCAGATGAAACACCTTGAATAACAAAGAAACGTTAATTACTATCTGAAGAAGGTCTATTTGTGTTGCTTAACGTTGTTTGTTGGATTACTCAACGACATTATCATTATCGTCGTTTGGGTTTTGAAATTTTACAAGTCATTAAATTTATAAACAAACACAATATATTAATTTTCACACAAATCAGACAATTTCATCTTGATTTGATGCATCACAACCCATATTTACCGTCAAATCCATTTCTAGTAGTAGCCATTTTGTGTTCGGCCATCTTTAATTAAAAATACAAAAATTCAAGCATATTAAAATCACAATCAGCATGAAAAATCAATATGTCGTGTTTGTAGTCATTTCAAAGGATTTTCTACATTCGATATTTTTTAATTTGTTACCAATCAAACCCATATTAAATTAATAAAAAAAACGCAAAAATCGCCATTTTGTTTCTGAATTATTTTTTTAACCTAAATATTTCGAAATCGTAATAAGCATGAAAAATGCTTTAATTTGATACCCAACAACCTATACTTTGGATTAAGTAACGTAGCCTTAAAGATGACATTGACAGCCGCCATCTTGGATTTTCTTATTTTTTAAATTTTGCACATCTTTGGTACTATTCAAGATAACCCCATCGAGTTTGGACTAATTTTAAAGGATTTTTTGTGAATATTACGACTATATAAAGATGGCGTCATAAACCGGAAGTTGATGTTGCACATATCGCTTATTTTTAAAATTAAATAAATCGTGTTTGTAGTCGTTTCAAAGGATTTTCTACATTCGACATTTTTTAATTTGTTACCAATCAAACCCATATTAAATTAGTTTAAAAAAACACAAAAATCGCCATTTTGTTTTTGAATTATTTTTTTAACGTAAATATTTCGAAATCGTAATAAGCATGAAAAATGCTTTAATTTGATACCCAACAACCTATACTTTGGATTAAATAACGTAGCCATAAGGATGACATTGACAGCCGCCATCTTGGATTTTCTTATATTTTAAATTTTGCACATCTTTAGTACTATTCAAGATAACCCCATCGAGTTTGGACTCATTTTAAAGAATTTTTTATGAATATTACGAATATATAAAGATGGCGTCATAAACCGGAAGTTGATGCTGCACATGTCGCTTATTTTTAAAGTTAAACATGTCGAATTTGTAGCCGTTTCAAAGGATTTTCTACATTTAACATTTTTTAGTTTGTTACCAATCAAACATATATTAAATTAATTAAAAAAAACGTAAAAATCGCCATTTTGTTTCTGAATTATTTTTTTAACCTAAATATTTCGAAATCATAATAAGCATGAAAAATGCTTTAATTTAATACCCAACAACCTATATTTTGGATTAAATAACGTAGCCATAAAGATGACATTGACAGCCGCCATCTTGGATTTGCTTATTTTTTAAATTTTGCACATCTTTGGTACTATTCAAGATAACCCCATCGAGTTTGGACTCATTTTAAAGGATTTTTTATGAATATTACGACTATATAAAGATGGCGTCATAAACCGGAAGTTGATGTTGCACATGTCGCTTATTTTTAAAATTAAACATGTACTTGTAGTCGTTTTAAAGGATTTTCTACATTCAACATTTTTTAATTTGTTACCTATCAAACCCATATTAAATTATTAAAAAAACGCAAAAATCGCCATTTTGTTTTTAAATTTTTTTTTTAACCTAAATATTGCGAAATCGTAATAAGCATGAAAAATGCTTTAATTTGATACCCAACAACCTACATTTTGGATTAAATAACGTAGCCATAAAGATGACATTGACAGCCGCCATCTTGGATTTTCTTATTTTTTAAATGTTGCACATCTTTGGTACTATTCAAGATAACCCCATCGAGTTTGGACTCATTTTAAAGGATTTTTTATGAATATTGCGACTATATAAAGATGGCGTCATAAACCGGAAGTTGATGTTGCACATGTCGCTTATTTTTAAAATTAAACATGTATTTGTAGTCGTTTCAAAGGATTTTCTACATTCAACATTTTTTAATTTGTTACCTATCAAACCCATATTAAATTATTAAAAAAACGCAAAAATCGCCATTTTGTTTTTAAATTTTTTTTTAACCTAAATATTGCGAAATCGTAATAAGCATGACAAATGCTTTAATTTGATACCCAACAACCTATACTTTGGATTAAATAACGTAGCCTTAAAGATGACATTGACAGCCGCCATCTTGGATTTTCTTATTTTTTTAAATTTTGCACATCTTTGGTACTATTTAAGATAACCCTATCGAGTTTGGACTCATTTTAAAGGATTTTTTATGAATATTACGACTATATAAAGATGGCGTCATAAACCGGAAGTTGATGGTGCACATGTCGCTTATTTATAAAATTAAACATGTCGTATTTGTAGTCGTTTCAAAGGATTTTCTACATTCGACATTTTTTAATTTATGACCAATCAAACCCATATTAAATTAATAAAAAAACCGCAAAAATCGCCATTTTGTTTTTGAATTATTTTTTTTAACTTAAATGTTTCAATATCGTAATAAGCACCAAAAATGCTTTAATTTGATACCCAACAACCTATACTTTGGATTAAATAACGTAGCCTTAAAGATGACATTGACAGCCGCCATCTTGGATTTTCTTATTTTTTAAATTTTGCACATCTTTGGTACTATTTAAGATAACCCCATCGAGTTTGGACTCATTTTAAAGGATTTTTTATGAATATTACGACTATATAAAGATGGCGTCATAAACCGGAAGTTGATATTGCACATGTCGCTTATTTTTAAAATTAAATAAATCGTGTCTGTAGTCGTTTCAAAGGATTTTCTACATTCAACATTTTTTAATTTGTTACCTATCAAACCCATATTAAATTATTAAAAAAACGCAAAAATCGCAATTTTGTTTTTAAATTTTTTTTTTAACCTAAATATTGCGAAATCGTAATAAGCATGAAAAATGCTTTAATTTGATACCCAACAACCTACATTTTGGATTAAATAACGTAGCCATAAAGATGACATTGACAGCCGCCATCTTGGATTTTCTTATTTTTTAAATGTTGCACATCTTTGGTACTATTCAAGATAACCCCATCGAGTTTGGACTCATTTTAAAGGATTTTTTATGAATATTGCGACTATATAAAGATGGCGTCATAAACCGGAAGTTGATGTTGCACATGTCGCTTATTTTTAAAATTAAACATGTATTTGTAGTCGTTTCAAAGGATTTTCTACATTCAACATTTTTTAATTTGTTACCTATCAAACCCATATTAAATTATTAAAAAAACGCAAAAATCGCCATTTTGTTTTTAAATTTTTTTTTAACCTAAATATTGCGAAATCGTAATAAGCATGACAAATGCTTTAATTTGATACCCAACAACCTATACTTTGGATTAAATAACGTAGCCTTAAAGATGACATTGACAGCCGCCATCTTGGATTTTCTTATTTTTTAAATTTTGCACATCTTTGGTACTATTTAAGATAACCCCATCGAGTTTGGACTCATTTTAAAAGATTTTTTATGAATATTACGACTATATAAAGATGGCGTCATAAACCGGAAGTTAATGTTGCACATCGCTTATTTCTAAAGTTAAATATGTCGTGTTTGTAGTCATTTCAAAAGACTTTTTTCATTCGACATTTTTTCATTTGTTACGAATCAAACCCATATTAAATTGTTAAAAAAAAACGCAAAAATCGCCATTTTGTTTTTAAATTATTTTTTTAACCTAAATATTTCGAAATCGTAATAAGCATAAAAAACGCTTTAATTTGATACCCAACAACCTATACTTTGGATTAAGGATGACATTGACAGCCGCCATCTTGAATTTTCTTATTTTTTTAAATTTTGCACATTTTTGGTACTATTTAAGATANTATTTCGAAATCGTAATAAGCATAAAAAACGCTTTAATTTGATACCCAACAACCTATACTTTGGATTAAGGATGACATTGACAGCCGCCATCTTGAATTTTCTTATTTTTTTAAATTTTGCACATTTTTGGTACTATTTAAGATAACCCCATCGAGTTTGGACTCATTTTAAAGGATTTTTTATGAATATTACGGCTATATAAACATGGCGTCATAAACCGGAAGTTGATATTGCACATCGCTTATTTTTAAAGTTAAATATGTCGTGTTTGTACTCGTTTCAAAGGATTTTCAATGAAGATTGCGATTTTAACAAAAAATTTTTTTTTCTGACCGAATCGACAAGTCCCAATAACGAAGAAATCTTTCGGGAAACTTAATTAATAATGAATTCGATTTAATATGATTGATTTCTTTGGTTTAATTTTAATCCAAAATATTTAAGCAAATAATTCTTAAGGAATTTTAAGACTTTCTCAACACGCTAGTTTATTTATGATCAATAACCGCGCAAATTCGTAACGAAGTTATTTAAAATTTTAATTTCTTAAAGGTAATCAAAAAAATATAAAGCAAATCTTTTCCTGTTTTTCGAACAATTTCAATGTTTGCGGTTTACCGACCAATTTGAAGCCAATCAGAGTCCAATTTAAATTAATCATTACTTACCGTGATCTTAATAACCACGAATCAAACCTTAAAAGCGTTCAAACCGAAAAATCGATCACCAAATCTGCACTAACAATTTTTTATTATTACATTTAAATCGTTTTGATTCCACTTTAATATCATATTATCTAATTTTTTTCATTTTTATTTATTTTTAGGTGTCTAAGAATCTCGATACACCTCAACGATGGATTTGTTGTACACTCGCGAGAGGTAGAGAGTAGAGTCAAGGCGCGAATCTTATCGTTCACTTGGTACGAGACGTCGACGATGGGGAGCTTGGTTCTGAGTACCAAGGAGGTTTTTTGCAATATAACCCAATGTGGGACGTTAAGAACCGCGGTGAAAGAAATCAACGAAAGGAGGAAAAAAAATAAAACAAATAGAAGGAGAAACAGGTAACTATTTAGACGTTAGAAATTCATATATTATTATTATTACTATGATTAAGAAGAGAAAATGTATCTCTTCGAAAGAGGACGAGTTGAGGCTGAAGGGAAATCCATCGAATCATATAAATATGCATTCTTTGGTGGTTACGTAATTTTTATTCTATTTATTTTGGGTACACTTAAAAATTAAAAATGTGAAATTCACATAGATTAGTATTAAATTGTCGAAAGTAACGTTCATTATAAAGAGAGCAACATGCGGCGAAGCTAAATTAAAGGAGAAGTGATTTTCTCTTATTTAATCTTTTTCTAAGGACACGGAACGTCGCTCTTTCGTTGTTTGCGGAGAAAATCGCCCATCAAACTTAGCTCACTACAATAATTGAGAAAGGAGAACGAAGAAAAAATCGTTTTGCAAAATAGAATTCAAAAGAAAATTATTATTTTACTCTCTCCATCTCTTTATATCGAAACAAACGAGAAAAGCTACTTTCACCGAAACTTATTTGCTTTTAATTTTTAATTTTCTTTTGGTTGCATTCACTTATTAGTTCTTTTTATTAAATTCTTAGTCACTTTGACATTTTAAATGACATTTAATTCAATTTCGATTTGTATTGAAAAGCTTTCACCGATTCTTTTTTCTAATTTTTGTTAAAATTACATTTTTTTTTAATTGCAATTAATAATTATTCGGTCCAATGAAGAATTTCTTTCTATTCCACACTTGCATTTGTATTTAATTAATCTCCTTTTACGTTGTTTACGTTCACTCTTTGTTGTTGTTTTTGTTCAAATTTTAATTTAATCCAGTTCTTTTCCTATACGTTTATTGTTTTTCTTGATAAATTCCAGAAGTTTTTCATTCAATTCAAACCTTGAAAGAAAATTCACGACTTTAAATAGAATTAATCTTAATTTTTTGGACTTTTCAATTGGGAAAAACCCCAAGTTTTATTTTACTAGCGAATTATCGCTTCATTTTGAACGTTAACTTTTCGAATTTATCGTTTTTGTTAAACCTTTTAAAATTTTAATGATTTATAAATTACGTAAAATCGACTTTATTTAATTCTCATATATATCAAGAAACGATTTAGATTAGTATTCGTTACGGTACAATAAATTTATTATTATTATTATTATCGTATGAATATGCTTTTGTATCATCGTTGGTGTAAATTGGGTTGCCTATACTCAAGATAAACTTTGACGTAAAACTTTTCCGATTAGCGTATAGATGGCACTAATAATTAAATTTTTTTAAGTTAACCTTAAACGTGACATTTCACTCTGGATATATTCTCCTGAAAGAATCTTTAGAAATAAAAAGAATGGTTCAACTTTATCCTAATCCTAATTTATTAAGTAATATTGGAAGATACGAAATCTTACTATTATGTAATACTTACATATTAAAAAATATTCAAACTAACACTGCTAGGAAAAAAGGTAAATTGATTTTTAGTAATTTATTAATTGCATATTCAAAAAACAAACACAAAATACAAACATTTATTCACTGTAATAAAAAAATATAAAAATAGTTAACAAGGGGAATTCCCCAATTGACTTTTTTGTATTATTCGCTCGGAAATCTGGCTAAATTTACATAGTAGAAAGGCGAGAAGAAAACTATTAATCAGTAACAAAACATCAGATTAATATTTGCTAAAGATCAAGAAAATAAGGATTTTTCTTTCTGGAGAACTGTTCTATTTACTGATGAATGTAAATATAACATTTTTGGGTCAGATTATAAGCCATATAAATAGAAAAGAAAAAATGGGGAGCTGCATTTAGCTGTAAAACATTGTGGCGGATCTGTGATGGTGTGATTTTCAGCTGCTGGGCAAGATGTTTCCATTTCATTGAGGGAATGATGTATCTCATATTTTAAAAGCCAATTTACCTTGTAGCGTGGGTAAACTATCTCTTGGAAGCGACTAGCGATTCTACCAAGACAAGGCGTACAAAATACATTCTTGGCTCTTATATTTTGAAAATATGCAATCAATTTACCTTTTTTTCTTCGCACTCCAAGAGTATTTGAAGAACATAAAGATCTCTTTTGCTTCTTGAGATATCATCATTACTAATTTAGGTTGGTATTTGGTTTTGTCCTATTTATTTTCTCCCATCTCGTTTTATTCTTGAGATATCATCAATTTTTATGTCATTTTTCTAAATATTCGCTTTTTGGCTAATTTAGGTTGGTATAACTGATCGATGGGATATAACTGTTTATGAAATATGTTAATAAACAGCCTTTTTTGTCCTAATCACTTTCTCCCATATTTTTTTATTCTTGAGATATCAATTTTTATGTCAAAAACGTCATTTTTTGAAATATTCGCTTTCTGAGTAATTTAGGTTGGTATAATTAATTTATGAGATATAATCGTTTATGAAATATGTTCTCTACGTTAATAAAGAACATTATTTGTCCTAGTCACTTTCCCCCACCTCTTCTGCTTCTCGAGATATTATCATTCTTAATGTCAGAAACATCATTTTTCGCTTTTTGGCTAGTTTAGGTTGGTATAACGAACTCATGAGATATAATCGTTTATGAAATATGTTCTCCAAATTAATAGAGAACATTTTTTGCCCTAATACTTTTTCTCATATATTTTTATTGTTGAAATATCATCAATTCTGTGTCAAAAACATTATTTTTGGGATATTCGCTTCTTGGCTAATTTAGGTTGGTATAACTGATCGATGGGATATAACTGTTTATGGAATATGTTTTCCAAGTTAATAAACAGCATTTTTTGTCCTAATCACTTTCTTCCATTTCTTTTTGTTGTTGAGATATCATTATTTTTTATGTCAAAAACGACATTTTTCGAAATATTCGCTTTTTGACTAACTTAGGTTGGTATAATTAATTCATGAGATATAATCGTTTATGACACATGTTTCATAAGTTAATAAAGAACATTTTTTGTCTGAATCACTTTCACCCATCTCCTTTTATTATTGAGATATCATGATTTTTGAAGTCAAAAACATAATTTTTTTGGAAATATTCGCCTTTTGATTAATTTAGGTTGGTATAACTGATCTATAGAATACAATTATTTATGGAACATGCTTCCTAAGTTAATAAAGAACATTTTTTGTCTGAATCACTTTCACCCATCTCTTTTTATTCTTGAGATATCATGATTTTTTAAGTCAAAAACGGCATTTTTTTGAAATATTCGCCTTTTGATTAATTTAGGTTGGTATAACTGATCTATGGAATACAATTGTTTATGGAACATGTTTTCTAAGTTAATAAAGAACATTTTTTATTTCAACCACTTTCACCCATCTCTTTTTATTCTTGAGATATCATGATTTTTTAAGTCAAAAACGTCATTTTTTTGGAAATATTCGCCTTTTGATTAACTTAGGTTGGCATAACTGATCTATGGAATACAATTATTTATGGAACATGTTTCCTAAGTTAACAAAGAACATTTTTTGTCTCAATCACTTTCACCCATCTCTTTTGCTTCTCGAGATATCATCATTCTTAATGTCAAAAACATCATTTTTCGCTCTTTGGCTAGTTTGGGTTGGTATAACGAACTCATGAGATATAATGGTTTATGAAATATGTTCTCCAGATTAATAAAGAACATTTTTTGCCCTAATACTTTCTCCCATATATTTTTATTGTTGAAATATCATCAATTTTGGAATATTCGCTTTTTGACTAATTAAGGTTGGTATAACTGATCGATGGGATATAACTGTTTATGGAATATGTTTTCCAAGTTAATAAACAGCATTTCTTGTCCTAATCTCTTTCTTCCATCTCTTTTTGTTGTTGAAATATCATTATTTTTTATATCAAAAACGTCATTTTTCGAAATATTCGCTTTTTGATTAACTTAGGTTGGTATAATTAATTCATGAGATATAATCGTTTATGCCACATGTTTCCTAAGTTAATAAAGAAGATTTTTTGTCTGAATCACTTTCACCCATCTCTTTTTATTCTTGAGATATCATGATTTTTTAAATCAAAAACGTCATTTTGTTGGAAATATTTGCCATTTGATTAATTTAGGTTGGTGTAACTGATCTATGGAATACAATTATTTATGGAACATGTTTCCTAAGTTAATAAGGAACATTTTTCGTCTCAATCACTTTCACCCATCTCTTTTTATTCTTGAGATATCATCGATTTTTATGCCAAAAACTTCATTTTTCGAAATATTCGCTTTATGACTAACTTAAGTTGGTATAACTAATTCATGAGATATAATCGTGTATGAAATATGTTCTCTAGGTTAATAAAGAACATTTTTTTCCTTAATCACTTTCCCACTTCTCTTTTTGTTGTTGAGATATCATTTTTTATATCAAAAACCTCATTTTTCGAAATATCCGCTTTTTGATTAATTTAGAATGGTACTACTCATCGATGGAATATAATCGCTTATGGAACATGTTTTCTAAGTTAATAAAGAACATTTTTCATCTTAATCACTTTCTCCCATCTCTTCTTATTATTGAGATATCATGATTTTTTAAGTCAAAAATGTCATTTTTTTGGAAATATTCGCCTTTTGATTAATTTAGGTTGGTATAACTGATCTATGGAATACAATTGTTTATGGAACATGTTTCCTAAGTTAATAAAGAACATTTTTTGTCTCAATCACTTTCACCCATCTCTTTTTATTCTTGAGATATCATCAATTTTTATGTCAAAATCGTCATCTTTCGAAATATTCCCTTTTTTTCTAATTTAGGTTGGTATAACTAATTTATGAGATATAATCGTTTATGGAATATATTCCCCAGATTAATAAGGAACATTTTTGCCCTAATTACTTTCTCCCCTCTCTTTTTATTCTTGAGATATCATCAATTTTTATGTCAAAAACAGGGTTGTCAGGTTACACACATAGAAAGTCGTGAGCCATGTCATAAAAAATCGTGAGGTGTTTGAAATTTGTTTAAAAATCACTCAATTTTAATAATATGTGTTATAATATATAGGCATAGGCACAAGTAAAATAGTTTAGCCAACGTTTTGATATAAAAGTGAGATTAAAAAGAAATAAAATATTACAGTTTAAATTAAGGTCCCTAGATTTACAAAGAACCGCGGTTTGACGCCATTTTGGCTCGAAAGTCAACCGGGAAATATAAATAAATAAGTGGTGAGATGCAGTGACAAGCTGTCAAACCCAGTCAAACCGCCATTTTGGCTCGAAAACAGGCTTCATTAACCGCGGTACTTTGTAAATCTAGTGACTTTAGTTTAAATAATTTCTTTGCGCCATCTAGCGGCGAATAGATGTAACTAATAGAGAAATTTACAGTAACCTACACTTCGAGTTGAAAATTCTATGATTTTACTTTGATTTTATTAACAGTAATTATTATATTATTTTTGCAATGATGAAGAAGTACATATCAAATCGTGAGATTAAAGGTAATATCATGAGGTTTCACGATAAATCGTGAGACTGGCAACGTTGGTCAAAAACGACATTTTTCCAAATTTTCACTTTTTGGCTAATTTAGGTTGGTATAACTGATCGATGGGATATAACTGTTTATGGAATATGTTTTCCAAGTTTATAAATAGCATTTTTTGTCCTAATCATTTTCTCCCATCTCTTTTTATTCTTGAGATATCATCAATTTTTGTGTCAAAAACGTCATTTTTCGAAATATTCGCCTTTTGACTAATTTAGGTTGGTATAATTAATTTATGAGATATAATCGTTTATGGCACATGTTTCCTAAGTTAATAAAGAACATTTTTTGTCTGAATCACTTTCACCCCTCTCTTTTTATTCTTGAGATATCATCAATTTTTATGTCAAAAACCTCATTTTTCGAAATATTCGCTTTTTAATTAATTTAGATTGGTACAACTCATCGATGGGATATGATCGCTTAGGGAACATGTTTTCTAAGTTAATAAAGAACATTTTTCATCTTTATCACTTTCTCCCATCTCTTCTTATTACTGAGATATCATCAATTTTTATGTCAAATTTATCATTTTTCGAAATAGTCACTTTTTGGTTAATATAGGTTGGTATAACTGATCGATGGGATATAACTGTTTATGGAATATGATTTCCAAGTTAATAAACAGCATTTTTTGTCCGAATCACATTCTCCCATCTCTTTTTATTCTTAAGATATCATCAATTTTTGTGTCAAAATCGTCAATTTTCGAAATAACCGATTTTTAGCTAATTTAGGTTGATATAACTGGTCGATGGGATGTGACTGTTTATGCAATATGTTAATAAACAGCATTATTTGTCCTAATCACTTTCTCCCATCTCGTTTGCCTCTTGAGATATCATCATTTTTTATGTCAAAATCGTCATTTTTCGAAATAATCGCTTTTTGACTAATTTAGGTTGGTATAATTAATTCATGAAATATATTCTCCAGGTTAATAAAGAACATTTTTGTATCCTACACAATTTCTTTGGTTCTGAGCTCTAAAAGTGGTAAAATATCCAAAGGATGGTAGGCAACTTCTATTGCATGTTTCGATTGAAGTGCACGAAAAATCACAAATTGAGTGAGGTGGTCTTGTTAAACTAAAATGAATTTATAATTTTCATTAGAGTCAGTTTGTAGATTTATTAGATCTACTTGACAACGTGAATTCATTTCACTATAAAGTATAGGCTTAATGACAATACCTTTTTTCAAAGTCTTTTTTTTCGTTTTTTGACAAAGTTGACATAGCTTCAAATATGTCATAGTACCCTCAACTGTTAGATTTTTATACTTTTAGTTAGTTACATTCTCGTTCATTATTTCATAAAATCTCTTTTTTACATTCATTTTGATTAATGAGTTACTTTCAGACACTCACATATATCGAATTAATATCACTGAAATCAGAACAAATGTGTGAAACGGTCAATTGATACGATTTTCTATATTTACCGCGTATCTGCGATAAAACCTAAGATTTACCAAGTGGATGGTGGTAAAAATTCGAAATCTACCATTCACTGGTAAATATTAGGTTTCACTGAAAAATCTTAGGATTTACCGCAGATAGGGATTTTCCTTTTATTTAACTTTAAAAAAAAGACCATCTACCGAAACATTCTTTATTTTCAATTTAATAATTCAATCGCTTATATAATTCATCGCATATTATGTACAGAGCACTTCTCTCTCGAAATATGCATCAAAAAAATGTGCGCGCGTGTATAAAGTCATCTTTAGGAAAAAAAAAAAACAAAATTAAAAAAAAAACAAAGAAACTGCAAAAAGTACTTCATAATTCTAAATTAACATTATAATTAATTAAACAATTCAAAAGTTGTAAATTGGTTTCTTTATAAATTCTTTTTGAGGCAGAACAAAAAAGAATAACCGCTTTTTTTGCGTTTTATATATATACAGGGCCTACTTTATTCTTTATATTCAAAAAGTTAACTAGAGCTTTGGGGAGGGCGTTCATTTTTTTTTTGTTAAATTTTTTTGTTTGTAAAGGGAGAGCTTTTAAAACCTCAAACCGTGTTTTATTTAAGGGGAGCGAAAAATTCTCAGTTCTCAATCGTCGTAATTTTGCGAAAGAAGAAAATTCGCCGCCAAATTCTCGTTTTTCTCACAAGCAAAGTACGCTTGTATTACCAAGTGTTCAGGAAAACCCAAAGCTTTCAGCCTTTCTATGGCGTCTTTATCTTGTTGAGTGACCTGTATTTGCCCAGGCGATAATTGAACTCCCGACGCTTGATTTGCACCTAATTAAATGCAAAAATTAAATTAAAAATACTTTATTATTGTTGTTTTACCTTGATTTTGAGGATTTCCACTTGCTGGAGTTCCACCACTCGAAGGTTCATTCAACATCCTAACAAAACTTTCTTGATTTTGGGAAATTAACTGCAACAAAGCTGGGTTAGTTTGCCCAATTTGTTGCAAAACTGCGTTTAAAAGCTGCGGATTTTGTTGGATGACTTGTCTCATTTGTTGAAATTGAGGTTGTGTTCTCAAAAAAGCTAATGGATCATCCGAATCGGATTGTTGCTCATCCACTCCTGACATATCCGCACTCTCATTAACTGATTCTTGATCATCCATATTGGGGATTCCATTGATTAGATACTCAACAGCTCGATCTGGGTTATTATAACTCGCCCTTAAAGCTTGAATAACTTGTCCTCGATCGTACCCCATGTCTATTATATTTTGCACCATTCTGTTATATTCATCTCCAGTGAGTAAAGTTGATTCTGGGGTGCTTAAAGCATCTGATGGGTTTGTTGAACCAGTTTCGGAAGTATTATCAGGATTCGTTGCTGGGGTGTTTGCTGGGGTTGTTGGGGCGATAGCTGGGGTGCTAAAATTTAAAAAAAATTTGTTTAAACCCAAAAATTAATCTTCAAAACTAACCTAGCTGTTGATGTAACATATCCGTCACCACTCTCAGATTTTTCTGGTTGTTTAGGTTTCGTTACCATAACAACAATGAATTTCTTCTCATCAATATTGTATTCAGAAAGTGCAGTTTCATCAGTTAAAATTTTTCCTGGTATAAATAAAAAGATTTAAGACATAACCTCACTTTTATTTTTAATCTCTTTGTTGTCTTACCGGCGTATATAAGCCTTTGATTATCCGCGGGGTATTCTTTGCCTTTCTCAGCTTCGATCTTTTCTTTTAAATTTTTCACCTATAATAATCAAAAATGAGGTCGAAACGATCGTTACTAATTTGGGGGTACTTACGGACTTTGAGGCGTCGATTTCAACTTGGAAGGTTTGCTGTTGTAAATTTTTAAGTGTAATCTTCATCTTGGTTAATTCCTTGTAGACTAGGCTCCGTTTAAGCGACTTATTATCCGTTACGAACGGAATTGATGTGATTTTCGGCTTTGTTTCTCTACCCTATGAGACAGCACAACTGGCAAATTTGGCGTCCATGTTATTTTTCGCCTGTCAATCGGAGTGAGTTGTCAAATCAAATTAAGTCGGACAAAATCACCAAAATTCAAATTACCCAATTCTCTCATCCCAACTCATTAATTCCAATTCAAATTATAATTAATAATTAATACACCATAAATTAAATTTTTGATTGATTTAAATTAATTAATTTTAATTTAAATTTTTTATTTTAGACATTTCACCCAAATCTTCAAACGATCTAAAATCGAAACTTGACGTTTGTCCGTTATAAGTTTATTGATACTCCTATAACATTTAATAACTACCAGCATTTTACTTTATAAATCATTTATTAAAAGTAACTTATTAAACTTCTTATAACTACGGAAACTCTATTCATAACATTACCTTAACTAATGACAGCCATCGTTGACACTCTTTTACTACTAGATGGCGTAACCATATATGACAGAAAGAAACCAACTTAATATGAGGTTAAGTTTTATCTTTGTGCATAATCACGTGGGAAATTAAAAATCCTTTAATTTGACTCCAAACACGACCAAATTATCTTAAAAAACATCCGAGATATCCACATTTAATTTTGACATAACCTCAAAAAAGTGACAATCGGAAGTTTGTTATCTTTTAAGATAACCCCATCGAGTTTGGGCTCGTTTTAAAGAGAATTTAATGCAGATCACGAATACGATGTTGGATTAATCAAATTCGATAATAATAAAACCAAAATGGGGGATTATACAGAAAAAAAAGATTCGATCTTAACGAAATATGTTTTTTAGATGTTTAATTAAGCTTTTAGATCCAAAAATAAAGTTTTTCGTTATTATTTATAAGATATAACTATGTTGCATATTTTTATTGAATTAAAACTACCCTAGCCGTCTTTAGAGACGTGCGGCTAAACCCAAATGATTCTAGTTCTAGATATAGTGTTAGTTCTAGTTTTACACTAGCTTTAGTCGATCTTTTTGATTTTTTGATATAAATGCATCATATTTGGCGTCATTTTAAAGATTTCTTAATAAAGGATTTTGTAATAAATGGATAACTTCATGTCAATTTTTCTATTATATGATACCTAACTTCATTTTGACGTATTTGTAATCGCCGTGAAAAATCCTTTAAAATGAGCCCAAACATGATACGTTTAATTCCAATATTACTCGAGATATAAGCAATTTCCGGTTTGAAATGTCAATGTCACTTTGACATATTTTTAATTTTTATGAAATGTCTTAATATTTGTAACAAAAACAAAAATATAATAAAAAAAAATAAAAAATTAAGGTTGGTATTAATATTCAATAATTAAATTGCTAACTTCAGGTTTAACGTTTTTTTATTAAAATTTTTTGTTTTTTGAGTTAAGTGCGTCATGTTTGGACTCATTTTAAAGGTTTTTTAATGAAAATGACAAATATGTCAAAATTGACGTTGACGTTTCTAACCGGAAGTTGACCATAACTGCATTAATATTGAAGATAAATATGTCGTGTTTGTACTCATTTTAAAGGATTTTTAATGAAGATTACAAATATGTCAAAATTGAGGTTGACATTTTAAATCTGAAGTTAGTTATCGTATAATAGACAAATGGAAAACTTCATGGTGTTCTTTTAGGATGTATTCTTTGTTAAAAAAACCATTAAAATGAGTCCAAACATGATGATTTAATTGTTACTAAGCGTTAAATTGTTGTCTATTTTTTTTTTATTTAATTTCAAAGAAATTTTTTGTTTTTTTTATGGTTGGCAATAAATAATTTGACGTTTACTAAAAAAAATAAGTCAATAAATACAAATAAAAAAAAAACGTTGCGTTAAAATGGCGGATAATAACGAATAAAATTAATTTGACGTTTACAAAGTGAGGTTAAGTTTTATCTTTGTGCATAATCACGTGGGAAATTAAAAATCCTTTAATTTGACTCCAAACACGACCAAATTATCTTAAAAAACATCCGAGATATCCACATTTAATTTTGACATAACCTCAAAAAAGTGACAATCGGAAGTTTGTTATCTTTTAAGATAACCCCATCGAGTTTGGGCTCGTTTTAAAGAGAATTTAATGCAGATCACGAATACGATGTTGGATTAATCAAATTCGATAATAATAAAACCAAAATGGGGGATTATACAGAAAAAAAAGATTCGATCTTAACGAAATATGTTTTTTAGATGTTTAATTAAGCTTTTAGATCCAAAAATAAAGTTTTTCGTTATTATTTATAAGATATAACTATGTTGCATATTTTTATTGAATTAAAACTACCCTAGCCGTCTTTAGAGACGTGCGGCTAAACCCAAATGATTCTAGTTCTAGATATAGTGTTAGTTCTAGTTTTACACTAGCTTTAGTCGATCTTTTTGATTTTTTGATATAAATGCATCATATTTGGCGTCATTTTAAAGATTTCTTAATAAAGGATTTTGTAATAAATGGATAACTTCATGTCAATTTTTCTATTATATGATACCTAACTTCATTTTGACGTATTTGTAATCGCCGTGAAAAATCCTTTAAAATGAGCCCAAACATGATACGTTTAATTCCAATATTACTCGAGATATAAGCAATTTCCGGTTTGAAATGTCAATGTCACTTTGACATATTTTTAATTTTTATGAAATGTCTTAATATTTGTAACAAAAACAAAAATATAATAAAAAAAAATAAAAAATTAAGGTTGGTATTAATATTCAATAATTAAATTGCTAACTTCAGGTTTAACGTTTTTTTATTAAAATTTTTTGTTTTTTGAGTTAAGTGCGTCATGTTTGGACTCATTTTAAAGGTTTTTTAATGAAAATGACAAATATGTCAAAATTGACGTTGACGTTTCAAACCGGAAGTGATTGTATTTCCATTAATATTAAAGTTAAATATGTCGAGTTTGGACTCATTTTAAAGGATTTTTTATGAAGATGACAAATATGTCAAAATTAATAGTTGAAAGTTTTACCTATTTTATGGAGATTACGAATATAATAATAAAATTAATTTAAATTTGATTCTTGACGATTGAGGTTATGTTATTGTTATGACATGACATATGATTTTATTACCTTTGATTCTGGTTTCATTTGATGCAGATAATTTCCTCGATTTTATTTGTTATTGTTGATTTTAATTCTATTTAGATACAGTGATTGTTTCCTTGGGACTCATTTTTGTTGTTTCCTGTTCAAACGGTTGTAAAATATGGAAATTACATATCCCAAGCACATTTCCATTATTAACCAATTCTTGACGCATTAAACTTCACATTCAAACATATACTATGTTAAAAAGTACGGTTTAGTCCTTGATATTGTTGCATAACAAAGTATAAATCATCAATAATTATATTTTGTGTTTATAATAATTTCGTTGAATCTCTTTTTTACTTTTTCGAGGCTTATTTCTAATTCTATGTTATTTTCCACAATTTAAAAACATCGTATGTAAATTTGACAGTTTTTGCGTCAAAACTTAAATTGTGAACATGGCCGATTTTCAATTCCGCCAACATCAAATAAACAAAAATTACTAGAAAACATCGTTGGGTTAGAGCAAGTTTTTGGGCGATTTTTCCATAATTTTTATTAATTAATGATTTAAATTCGTTTTATTTACGTTAATTAAAGTTTTTGTTAACAACTTTACTTTAATATAACATTAATTTAGTTGTTTTATTGAAATTTAAATTTTGACGTTTCAGGTTATGTCATTGTTGTGACTTACGTTTGATTTGATAGAGATTGTAACGTTTTTACGTTATTTATAAGTTTATGGATATAACACTGAGTAACTATTAGCACTTTACTTTTAAATCGATTATTAAAAGGAACTTATTAAACTTCTTCTAACTACGGAAACTCTATTCATAAAATTACCTTAATTAATGACAGTCGTCGTTGACACTCTTTTACTACTAGATGGCGTAACGAATGCAAATTAATTTCTGTCAAAAAGTTAAAACCGTTTAAATTTATGAATATAACCTAAGTTAACTTCTAGCACATTATTTTATAAATCATTTATTAAAAGTAACTTATTCTTGTAACTACCGAAACTTTATTCATAATTATCTTATTTAATGACGATCATCGTTACTCACTTTAACTACTAGATGGCGTAACCATATATGACAGAAAGAAACCAACTTAGTATCTGTCAGAAAAATCAAAATCGTTACGCAAGTAATTTTCGATATAAAAAATGTCTTTATTACAAAAATTCTTCCCAAAAGTAAAAGCCGACGATGATTTAGTTGACCCACAAGAAGTTTTACGCGTAAGTACTCATTAAAACGGTTATAAAGTCGTGAGAAAAAAAGTGAGGTTATGAAGTAATAAAAGTGAGGTTATATAATCTTTTTTTTGTAGAATAAATGTAAAGAAACTGATCATTGCAAACATTTACAAGAAAAATACGACGCTTGCAACGATCGGGTTAACTCCCGCTCGAAAACTACCGAAATTTGCACGGAGGAGCTCTTCGATTGGCTTCACGCCGTTGATCATTGCGTCACGAAAGATTTGTTCAAACAGCTTAAATAGAATTAATAAATGTTTATAAGTAGAAAAAATGGGGAAATAGAAACTATATAACACAAAAAACATTTTATTTTTAACCAAAGATTGTCGTTATAATATCTAAGATATTAACACCATGTGGGACATTATAATCAGGTTTTTCTGTTGTTCTTAAATTGTCGTTTCCACAACCATACATTGAATTAACTTTTTTTAGATCACCTTCGCTGAATCCTTTTCGTTGCCCGATTTCGGCCCCTTTTTCTTTTGGATCAATCGTAGCTTGTTGATTTTTGCTAAAAGCATATTTGGAGTAATGCATAACCGAGTCATAATCATAAGGAACTTGAAAATCGGAGCTAGTTCCATTTTTTAACTTTTCAAAGTTGTTTTCTCGCCCCATCGCGATATTTTTCCACAAAATCGTAACGAAATCGTCTCGTTCTTCGCGAGTTTGTTCATGGTGAAACCCTAAAGCGTGCATAAATTCGTGTATGGGTGTCCCAAGAGTTGAAACACACCCGGGACTTTGTAAATTTAAATCTTGTTTCCCCCCAATTTTCCCCACGCTGCTCCAACAACCCGTTTTTGTGTTTTGAATACTTAAATAATCAACATCTTCGGCTTTTTTTTTCCTAAATCGAATGCACGTGTTTTTATGGTATTGCTCCATCGCGCCGAAAATCTTATCCAAATCCTCTTTATCGTAGGGACCGGCTATAACGTAAGGAACAATCCCTTCTTTCCATCGCAAAGTTTCGTCTAAAAGTCCGTTTCGAGCACCGGGATAAATAATATCGCCTTCGAAGTACTCCCCCATTTCTTCCGGGTTAATTTTCATCTCTTCGTTCCATTCGCTTACTAATTCTCCGGTCGATTCACTCGGATACTGGACGTAATCCGCGAATTTGTTTAAATTTAAATTTCGCGCGTTCGAATTTCCCGCCAAAAGTAACAGGGTAACGATTAACTTGTACATTTTGAAATTGAAAGTTTAACTGAGTACAAAAAGTTTTTGGGGCGGTTTTATTTGAAAAAAAAAACGTTTAAATAAATGCATATTCATTTATTGAAATGATTTGGCCTAAATTGATAAATAAAGTTCGAGTGTAATCTGTTGCGATAAAATGGCGCTGTTCTTTTTACATTAATTTCGATTAATTTAATTTAAAATTGTAAACAATGCGATAAACATATTGAATATTGAACACATGACATATTGAACGTAATTAAATGTACGGTTTATAAGAAAAATTGCGATTTCGTATGGGACATTACAGTGAATAAGTCTTTAAAATAAAATTTAATTATTTAATTTCTAAATTAACGTTTTCTTAATACTGTTTTAATCACTTTTGATTGAAGGGTTATATTTACTGTTTTGACAATTTCTGGTTACAGGAAACTGTAAAATATGTTCCTCTATAAACAAAGATTATACTAATCGCCTTTTTAATAATTAAATTAGAAATAATCTGAAATTAAAAAAATAATTTTAATTAAAATTGTTAATTGTTGACGTTAGGAGCTTGTTTTTAAGGACAATAAATGTTATTTAAAATATACAGTGTTTCTCTATTATCACAATTCTCCTGGTTAACCTCGAATTAATCCCGATTAGTTCATGAATTGAACACAAGGTGGCGATTTTATTTGAATTCTGAAAGGTTTGAAACTTGACTAAGGAAAAATATAATTCCGATTAGTTCGATAATTCAATAACAGATGGCAACCTTATTTAAATCTTGAGGGTTTGAAACTCGGCTAAGGAAAAAATTATACCGGGTGATTCAAAAAAACATTTGATTTTCCGAAAATTTTATTTTAATTACAATTTTTATTTGAATCACCCGGTATAATTTTTTCATTAGTCGAGTTTCGAACCAATCGCAATTTCAAAATAATTCCGATTAGTTCGGTAATTGAACGATAGATGGCGATATTAATTAAATTTGTTGGTTTGAATCTTTACTAAGTGAAAATTTGTGTTAAAATTTTAAATTATTTTAAATAAAACACCAACAAACTTGTATTTCTTTTTTTATTTATTTTTTATACTCAAAATATAATAATTACAAGTTTATTTTTATATAATAATATGCATGCATAAATTTGGACACAAGAACGAGAAGTAACCCATTTCTTTAGAGGAAATGATCCNTGAACGATAGATGGCGATATTATTTAAATCACTGATGGTTCGAAACTCGGCTAAGGAAAAAATTATACCGGGTGATTCAAAAAAACATTTGATTTTTCGAAAATTTTATTTCAATTACAACCTTTATTTGAATCACCCGGTATAATTTTTTCATTAGTCGAGTTTCGAACCAACCTCAATTTGAAAATAATTTCGATTAGTTCGGTAATTGAACGATAGATGGCGATATTATTTTAAATCACTGATGGTTCGAAACTCGGCTAAGAAAAAATTATACCGGGTGATTCAAAAAAACATTTGATTTTCCGAAAATTTTATTTCAATTACAATCTTTATTTGAATCACCCGGTATAATTTTTTCATTAGTCGAGTTTCGAACCAATCGCAATTTCAAAATAATTCCGATTAGTTCGGTAATTGAACGATAGATGGCGATATTAATTAAATTTGTTGGTTTGAATCTTTACTAAGTGAAAATTTGTGTTAAAATTTTAAATTATTTTAAATAAAACACCAACAAACTTGTATTTCTTTTTTTATTTATTTTTTATACTCAAAATATAATAATTACAAGTTTATTTTTATATAATAATATGCATGCATAAATTTGGACACAAGAACGAGAAGTAACCCATTTCTTTAGAGGAAATGATCCTAATGATGTTCATTAGGATCATTTCATTCATGAAGTACGGCATCGTTTTTTGCAACAATTTTATAATTTATTAAAGTAACTGTATTTGTACAGATTTCTATTTTACCAACATATTTTACAGTTTCCTGTAATCGTTGGTTGTCAAATTTAAAATTTACAAAACCCCTGCTTATAGATGTTACTGATATTTGTTAAAAAACAAAATTTAACAATAATTTTAATATGTAATAAAAATAATGAATCAGATAAATGTCAACATTCATCGAAATAAAATTAGATGGCGCTAAAATGAACTTGTCAAAATATGATTATTTAAATAATTCGTTTTTAAAAAAGATAAGAACATTTTTTGGGACATAGAATAAAAATAATAACTATAGGGGTATTGAAATTATTATAAATACACTCCCTAACTTTATAAACAAGTCAAATTCGACTTTACTTAACTTAATGAAATCATGTTGATCCCAAAAGATAAGTTTTTGGTAGCTATTACTATCTTCTTACAAGATAAACACAATTTAATCAATAAAATCATTGTTGTTAACATTTACTCATTCTCAAAAAAATTATTAATAAGTTTCTTATTGTTTTCTGATAATTTACTGAATTCTTCTAAAACCTGGTGGCTTTTGACGTTCAATGGAACGCTCTTAAACAAACTCAAAATCCTGGTTTCTTTTAAACTTGCATATTCGATCCCTTCAAATTCAATCCTACTTAAATTATCTTAAAAGAAAAAATTAATAAATAAATAAAAATTAATTAAAAACATCATCTTACTTAATATCTCGGGTAATAACAAAGAAAGAACAATTTCAACTTCGTTTATTCTCCGTAACAGCAAAATTCTAATCGATTTAAACATCTCCATACCAATTTTAGGACCAATCAATGATTTACAAGCTTTTCGAACCACCTCGAAGAAAATTCCCTCAATCGAATCGATGTTTTCACATAAAAATTTGAAAATTTCCACGCCGTTTTCTTGTAGGTTATTATTAATGTAGTATTTCGCCGTGTTATTAACAAAACCGTTCAAATCTTGCTGATTGTGTTTATTCCAAGCGTTGAGGTTATTCTCGTATAATTGTTTTAATGCTTTCAATAAAAATTGCGATTTTTCGTGCGGAACGTAATTTCTATTCACCAAACAAACTGTGAAAGTTAAAAAATAAAATATATCGATTTAAAATCGAATTAACTCACCGTTTAAATAAGTTAAGGCTTGCTCGACCAATTTTTTGTTGTACTCGTTATCGGAGAATGCAAAAAATAAATAACATCCTCATACTCCTATTATTTTGTTTCGAAAATGGAAAACTTTCGAAGATTAAGTTTACGATTTCTTTGGAAGTTTTTAAAAATATCTTGTTTTGCTACAAATTTTTTTTTTAAGTTATGGGAAAAATCAAGAATCATCATGTGGCTTAAAAATCGATGATAATTAAGTTGAGGTTTAAAATGTCAACCTCAATTTTGACATATTTGTAATCTTGATTAAAAATCCTTTAAAATGAGTACAAACACGACATATTTATCTGTTTAGGCAACCCAAATAACGAACCAAATTTTATGTAACCATGACAATTTTGTCGATTTTCAAATGTTACAAATAAAACAAGCAGCCATTATTGTATTCGTTATTAAAACGACGCCTTTTATTCGATCCTCGGAAGATAGAACCCCAATTCAAGTAAGAAATTTCCAATTTTTCTTCGAACCAACACCTACAATTATTCCCGACATTTGTCGCGCGAACATTATCTTTAATATTAATGAAGTTATGGTCAACTTCCGGTTAGGAATGTCAACATCAATTTTGACATATTTGTAATCGTCGTGAAAAATCCTTTAAAATGAGCCCAAACATGCTACATTCAATTCTAATATTACTCGAGATATAAGCAACTTCCGGTTTGAAATGTCAATGTCATTTTGACATATTCTTAATTTTTATGAAATGTTTTAAAATTTGTCACAAAAACAAAAATATAATAAAAAAAAAATCAAAAATTAAGGTTGGTATTAATATTTAAAAATTAAATTGTCATGGTCATTGTTGCCAACTTCGGGTTTAACGTTTTTTATTCTAACTTTTTTGGTTTTTGAGATAAATGTGTCATGTTTGGATTCATTTTAAAGGTTTTTTAATGAAGATGACAAATATGTCAAAATTGACGTTGACGTTTCAAACCGGAAGTGATCATATCTCCATTAATATTAAAATTTCATTCTGTTCGTCCCAACCTCACTTTTCAAATTAAATCAAACCTCACTTTTCCAGGCGACATTTTTTGACGTTTCATTAAATAAAAATTATTTTACTCACTCAGTGCGTCCTCGAAGATTTTCTTTCATATTAGTGATTTATAATAAGTGATCTCGCTTAAAACAGCCACAGAAACTAAACTCACAAGATACAAAATTTCCATTTAATCCAACCTAACCTCACTTTTTCAAGTAACATTTTTCACAACCATTACTGCCGATGGAATAAGAAATAAAACTAAAACTAGAAATTTTAGGTTTAAAAATTTCTCGTTTTAGTTTTATTTCTAACACAAAATGAGTTAAATAAAAGTTTTTTTAATGAAACGCCAAAAAAGTTGCTTAAAAAAAGACGCGTAGGAAGTAGCGCCATCTGTACGTTTATAAAGTACGTTATATTGTCGGTAAAGTAGAAAACTATTTCACTTATTATTTTAATTATTAAAATTGATTTTATTTATTTATAGTTACGTTTTTATTTATAAATAATCCTTAAATAAAGATTAATTCACACCGACGAAAACGTGAAAAAAATAAAAGTTACTAAAAATAATCGAAAGTAACCAAACAAAACTAAATATAACTAAAACGAAATAAATAAAACGAACAAAAATATGTTAATCTGAACCAGGTCTGTGATAAAACATAAAAATGCATCATATAAAACCGATTTGGGTCTATATTTTGATTCTAAACGCCGTAAAATGTACGTAGAAACGTCAAAAAAATGTCATTTGAAAACGTGAGGTTAGGTTGTGTTGGAAAAATGTGATTAAAAATCCTCAACATCATTTTCTAGCACTGTTTTAAACTAACATGGCAGTTTTCGAAGACATCGGCCGCCCCCGGACATCACGGGTGCTAAAACATTGAAAACCTTGAGTTGGATCTTTACTCGCATTTGTGAGAATGAACATTTTGTGCTTTCGGGGGCGGCCGATGTCTTCGAAAACGGCCGTGTTATTTGTGTTTATCTATTTGTTCGTCCCAACCTCACTTTTCCAAATGACATTTTTGAAGTTTCATTAAAAAAAAAAATTATTTTACTCACTCAGTGCGTCTTCGAAGATTTTCTTTCATATTAGCGAATAAGAAGCAATCTCGCTTGAAACAGCCACAAAAAGTAAACTCGGCCGAAGTCTTCGAAGTATTTTTTCAACACAACCTAACCTCACTTTTTCAAGTGACATTTTTCACAACCCTTACTACCGATGGAATAAGAAATAAAACTAAAACTAGGAATTTTGAGGTTATAACATAACCCTAAAATTTCTAGTTTTAGTTTTATTTCTAACGCAAAATTGGTTAAATACATTTTTTTAATGAAACGTCAAAAAATGACACTTGATAAAGACGCATAGGAGATAGCGCCATCTGGCGCAAAAAGTCTAATTTCTAGTTTTAGTTTTATTTTTAACGCAAAATCATCGACCCCCTGTATTTATATGATTTATAAATGTATACAAAATCATTAATGATACCTATTAATACACGATTTTCTATTAATAAACGATTTTAATGTGTCAAAAGTCAAAATTTATTACTGTAGTCTTACCGAATAAATATAGTGGTCGGTATTACAGATTTCATTCGAGAATATTTACTAAATTGACTACTGTATTAGTTCGGTCGGACTTTCTTAAAGTTTGCCAGTGACAGAATTATAGAATTGGGTGATTTTTCAACGATGGATTTTCTCTATTTTGTTGAAAAAACAGTCAACGGAAAACTCGTATATTAAAATGCGATTCACTTCCCCTTAATGTCACTTTAAGACGTATAGAAGATAGCGCCATCTATCGAAAAAAAACCTTAAAATATACGTCACGTCGAAACTTTAAAGTAATTTTTCGATAAAATTTACTTTTTTATATGTAACGACTTACTTAAGTGATTTCCCGTCGATTAAAAAACCAAATTATCGATTTTTAAGCAACATGATGATTCCTCTATTCCTCAATTATTTGAGGTTATGTCATGTGTCAAAAAATTAACCTACAATTTTAATCTCTTGATTTTCTTGAGTTTTAATCACCATCAACTCATAAAAGGAACTAATTATACTCAAAATGCAATGCAAAATGTTTAAAACCTCGTTATTAATCACAGTACAAAATAATTGCGCTAAAAAAAATCAATTTTTATTAATAATTTTAATTAATTTTTAAATTTTAAGTACCTGATTGAATGGAATGCTTATTACTAGGTTGAACTTCCAACCAAATCCCTTTTAATAACACCAAAACATCCTTAACACAATCATCCAACCAAACATCAACATTAATATCATCACGAAAAATATCAATTTCTTCCTTTTTATAATAAATCGGAGCACTAATTCTTTGCCTTTCCACTTTAATTATATTAATTGGTACTAAATCGATTACATTTTCTTATTTTTTCCTGTTTAAAATCGTTAAATCTTGTTAAAACCATTAAACGCCATTCGACACTCGTTCGTTTATTCTTAATGGTAGTTTGCAACATCGATTTATCATTCGCGTTAATTTTAATTTTCGAAATTAATAAAACAAAATTTTGGATGATTTTAAGTAAAGAATCGTAAAGAACGTAAAGAATCTTCTTGGACGTTTTCGTTAAGATGTGTCATCATGCAACATAAATATGATACAATTCTGTTTATGTGGGGCTCAATTCCAACACTTTTAACCAATTTAATTAAATGATGTGTTAAAGTTATAGCTTCTCGGCGTAATTTTTGATCGGTGTGTACGTATAACGGACAAAGTAATTCGCATATTTGTAAAACGTACTTATCCAAAACGTTATATTATATAGATGAATTCTTTTAATTGTTGTGAACTGTTTAGGTTAACTGTTACGTTGTGATGTTTAATTCGGTTCATGATGTCCTTAAAATCGAGATTTTGAGAGGTAATTTGAGATTTGTGCTGCACAAGTTGATGAGGAACCACGATTAGTTTTATTTTGAAGTCGGTGTTGGTTACGTTTAAGCCTTTCGGTAAGAACTTGGTTTTTTGGGTTTTTAACTTGATTTTGGACCTCTCTGATTTTAAATTCTTCGAATGACGGTGATTTTTGCCCATTTCTTTAAATTAACTTGTTGAATAAACACACGAACAGCGTTACTTAAGTGAGGTTAAGTTAGGTTATGTTGTTTTTGTGATTATTTATTTTTAAGAATTTCACTTTTAATAATTATGAGTTTTTAATAAAATTTTTGATTCAAAAATGATTAAATTGTTGATTTTTAAGTGTTTATTAAACAATTTAATCCGATTATTAAATATTTAATAAGTCGATAAAGCGTTCTACTTTATCGGCCGCAAATTGACAGACTTGAAGTTGTGCGGCGAAAAAGCATCATAATAAGAATAATACATAAAATTAAGATTAAATTGATTTACTATCAATCATTTTCGTACACTTTGTAATAATATTTTTATTTCTATCGCAAAATTAAATCAAATTTTCTTTAATGAAACGTCAAAAAATGTCACTTTAAGACGCATAGGAGATAACGCCATCTGTCGCAAAAAGTCTAAAAAGTGAATTAGACGAGAAAGTGAATTACTATTTAATATTTAATTCTTTTTATAACGTAAAACCTGTACGAGCGATTAAAACGAGCTTCTATAACGGAAATTTCTTTTTAGTTTTATTTCTAAAACTGAGTGAGTTAAATTTTTTTAATGAAACATCAAAAAATGTCATTTGAAAAAGTGAGGTTAGGTTGTGTTGGAAAAGTGTGATTAAGAATTTGTGAGAAAGAACATTTCGTATGTTCGGGGGCGGCCGATGTCTTCGAAAACGGCCGTGTTAGTTTAAAACTGTGCTGGGAAACGTGTTATTTTTGATTATCTATCTCTTCGTCCCAACCTCACTTTCCCAAGTAACATTTTTTGACGTTTCATTAAAAAAAAAATCATTTTACTCACTCAGTGCATCCTCGACGATTTTCTTTCATATTAGCGATTAATAAGATGCGATCTCGCCACAAAAAGTAAACTCGGCCGACGT